ATGTCTGCAGCTGTTTCTCTTCAATTTGAGTGGTGCCACATCAGTAAATGGAGGTCTTGAAAGCTTTACCTTATCCAAAAGAGTAAAGCTGGGTTTACTCAGATGATGCAGCTCTTTCCCAGTCCTATTTTGAGAGCCTTCTAACCTAACCAGACTATTCATAAAGTTGTGCGGTAATGTATCAATCAGTGTTTCTTTGCTATTCATAAGGTTTTCCCTGGCCAATTACTTGATAAGTGGACGGCCTCTTCCTTCTTCCTAGTCTCTCAGCCTGTAAGCTGGATTGATACCTGTGCACCACGTGCATCCCACTGGGTTAGAAACACCAGTGGCTCAGACTCAAAACTCACATCAACACGTCACCACGGTAGGACAAACCAACAGACAAGTTTGCCTCTCTGTTGGAATCCTCTCATACCACCCTTACCTGGGTCCCTGGGGCTGATTCCTCTATCCAGATTCCTAGGCCTTTTAATTCCCTTTCTTCCACTCTCCCACCCTGCTGCTTTGGGCGTTTCTGAGTTCCTCTCTTTACCTGGATCCCTGCAACTGACTGCTCCTCTGTCTGAGTTCCTGGCTTCTAATCCCCTTTTTCCTGCTTTCCCACACTGCTGCTTTGGGCGTGCCTGAGTTTCTCTCCCCACTTGGATCCCTGTGGCTGAGTAAAGAACTAGGGCCAAATATAAATAAAACCCAACCAAGAAGGTAAGGCTAAAAGTGAAAAACAATAAAACCAAATTCCAAATAGGGCATCTAGGACAAAATTATTAGAATGAGTGAAATAAACACCTCACACATTTAGGATGTCTGCATCCCAAAATTTGAGATCTGCTATAATCCAAGTATTTGTAGGTAATGATACATTTTGCATAATGGAATGTGGAGATTTGAGTTTTAGTCCTATATCTGCTAGATTAGCAAGAAATGTTTTGATAAAGTGGAGGGTCAACGAAGAAGGGGAAGGCCCTCAAGGAGATGGACAGACACAATGGCTGCAATGATGGGCTCCGGTATAGCAAGGATCATGAGGTTAGCACAGGACCAGGCAGTGCTTTATTCTGCTGTGCATAGGGTCACTATCATTCAGAGACAACTCAATAGCACCTAGCAACAACAGTCTAAACCTGACAATAACCAATACTTTGAAATGACAGCTGTATTTTTCTAAGATGATACTATTTTAAGAGTCACTAAGAGTCACTATGGTAGTACAAGGAGCTCTGGTAGCATAGTGCTTAAGGCACTTGACTGCTAACCAGAAGGCTGGCGGTTCAAACCCACCAGCCACTCCTTGGAAGGAAGGTTGGGCAATCCTACTTCCATAGTGATACTGCCTCAGAAACCCAAGGAGGGGTCGCTATGAGTCGGGGCTGACTCAACGGCATATAACAACAACAACAACATGGTAGTACAGTGCCTAAGGCATCTGACTGATAACCAGAAAGTTGGTGGTTCAAACCCATCAGCCACTCCACGGAAGCAAGGTTGGGCAATCTACTTCGTAACCCAATAGGGGTTGTTATGAGTTGGAATCAACTCAATGGCAGTAGATTTGGTTTTTTTTTCACTCTAAGATGACACAAATATTTTAACTTTATATATGAAAAGATTTTAAAATACCATGTTGATGAATTGTATGAACTGCCTCCAACATATTTTTCCAGTAACTCTTGCGTTCCCATGGATTGATAGATTTTTTCTTTTTAAGCCAACTATTTAGATCAATATTTCCACACTCCATTACCATGTAGATGTACTGGTCTGTGATTTCACTACAGTTAAAAGCAAAGAAATAAAAGCAACAAAACAATAAATATTTGGGTTATAATAATATTTATGAAGTATTTACCTGAAGAATTACAGAAAATATTGAATACATAAAAAAATTCTTACTAATCATAAAGTCGAATAATCTTATCACTGTGTTGTTGTAATTTATTCAAATAAGCTATTTCATTCCGGTAACTATCAATAGTTTGGTTATCTGCTTCTTCTAAGTTCACGTATTTTATAGCATGTATCTGTTTCTTTTCATTCAACACCTGAAATACCTAAATAATAGGACAAAGAAAAGACTTTAGAATACACTGATCTGCATAGTATCATAATACTTCTTACTTACTAGACAGAATTTTAGGTGAAATTAAATGTTTCTTGGCCTGTTCTCAGTACAGAAGGAAAAAAATTAATCAGGATAGTAGAGTAACCGATCATTTTTAATGACTTATGATAACTGGCATTCATTAATTCAAAGTTGTAAACACAAAAAGTTTCAATATTAACATATAAGAAAGGTAATTTAAATGCTATATATGTTCATAACACTGTTGGACATTTTAACCAGGGAAATAATCTACAGAAAAGACATTTCCTGTAATGTTCAAAAAATTCAAAAATACTAAGGAAGACTAGGGGCTGTAACAAGAGTTATGTTTGGGACATATTAAATCTTCAATGCCTAGGAGACACCCAAGAAGAAATGTGGAGCAGTCAGCTAGATATACTCAATGCTGTCAAATCAATTCTGACTTGCGACAACCCCATAAGATAAAATAGAACTGCGCCATAGGGTTTCTAAGCCTGTAAACTTTATGGAACCAGATTGCCATATCTTTCTCCTATCGAGTGGTTGGTAGTTCTAACCACCAACCTTTCAGTTCAGCAGCCAAGCATATAACCACTGTACCATACCCTGGTTGGATATACAAGTCTAAAATCCAAAGAACAGGTCTGAGCTAGAAATATTAAGTGTAGGAATTTCAGCATATATGGTATTTTAAAACCATGAGCTTGGATGAGAGCACCACAGTACTGAGTTTAGAAGGGAAAGGAAAAAAAAAAAAAAAA